TTACAGGGAGAGGGGTAAGGTATGTTTCGATTTATTTATTAGATCACTATCAATCTTTCCTCTAAGGAGATCAAGGTGCTCCGTGCACAAGCATTTGGAGAGAAGACTTGGCTGTTTGAAGAATGTCAGGTTCTGCCAAAGCTGTTTCTCCCGTTTGATACCCCCACCCCCACCCCAGGGCACCGCCCCTTGGAGCTGACAGCTCTATGTGGCTAACCACAAGTCTATCCTCGGGTTGAGGAGTGCACTGAGCTGACTTGAAACGCTTTCTCAGAACCCCAGGAAGAATGATCTCGGGGCACACTGGCTCTGCTTTACCTTACAGGGCTCGAGGGAGCAGACTCGGGAGAGGAAAGTCCTGTAGCTTCACTTCTTATCACACAGGAAGTATTGTTTTCTTTTTTTGAGATTATATTATTAAAAAAGATTGTAGGCAAACAGCAGGCAGGCCTTTCATTATTACCAAAGCCTTTCAGGGTTTACTTATTTTGAATCCAGGCCAGAGGAATAAGTGAATTTTCTGTCCTTTAGATTGGAAAGACAACTGTTAGAATCAGCCAAACACTGTCCGCACTGGGCTGGACAGCCAAGTGGATATTTAGGGGGTTCTGAGTGTTCTTTTCGTGGTGCCTCTGGGAAGCCATAGCTTATAAGGCTGTGATGTGTTTTTCTGGACCTTTTTCTTTTCCACTGTGAGTCCAACCTGTTGGTCTCTTCAGTCTTAGAGGCCATACGACATATATGGGCTTAGCACAAGTGACTCTGTTAGGACATTTCTCTTCTTGACTCCTTTGAGCTCTCACACTACAAAATCAGTCCCTTTGCTTCTGTTTTGTTCTCCAGGGAGACAAAGAAGTTGGAAGAAATAGAGTCCATGCTGTCTGTGTGGACAGAAGAGATCGCCAGGTTTCTTTGACAGAGGCGGAGGCCGGCTTCCGTCTCCCCCACACACATCAACGCTGGGCGGCGAGTGGGAGTGTGTGGGCCGCTGCTTCTTTGGGGTTATGTAACAACAAAACAGTGACTAGCTTCACCTAGCTTAGTGGCCGCTGGAAAGGAGGGTCAAGGACTCCTTTGAGGGTCACTGGAGTTGACTGATTGAGCTGCTACCTTCTGTCCCTTGTTTCGTGGTTGAAACGTCGCTTTTGGTTTAAGGGCAGTAAGTTGGAAAGAGAAACCGACGACTTGAAGCTGTGCTGCTTTCTGAATGAGTGTTCTAACAGGTCCACTGTGATCACCCTCTCAAGCTTTAGTGAGAGTCTACTGTCTGTAAGGCCTAGAGAGGTGCCAAGTGCTAAGGATGCAGAAAAGAGTAAGAACTAGATCAGCCCTCATTTTCACAGCCATAGCTTTCACATTCTTTTGATTGTGACCTCTAGCAAGGAATACATTTAAATCATACATGTGTATGTTGTGTAACTGGGTTGTTTTGTTTCACCTTGCTAGTCTGTTCTATTCTTTTTCATTAAAAAATGCTGATTACCATCCATTGAATTGATATGTTGATCCACTAATGTGCAGTAGATCAAGTTGTGCAATTAGAAAACACTAGTATGGAAAATGATACCTAACACATATAATTACAAAGCAGTGTATAAGTACAGCCACAGAAGTGTGCACAAAAGGTACAGAGCCCTGATGAAGACATGTGGGGCCTGGAAAATCCTTTCCTATGTTCTTTCTTTTACCCACTGTGAGGCACCCACAGCACATCCCATGGGAAAGTCTGCTGGCCCTCTTTCCAGGCACATCTCTTGCTGGCTTTTCAATCCACCTTCATCCCCTGCATAGTCTATAGATACTGCCTCTGGGTGACCTGAGCCAACATCATCTGTGGTACCATCTGTGAGTCCAGAAACAGGGCAGGGACAGACTAGCAGCTCAGCTCCCTTTCCAGCTCTAGAAGTCTCGCATTTGTACGACAGTACCCTCAGGCACCAGAAGGACCCCACCTGGATGCCTTTATTTCATCAGGCTCTGTCTTTTTGTTTCTTTGGGGCTTAGCCCCAGTGAGTCTTGAGTGAGAAGTGGGGGATGCAGGTCCCAGAGGCAAAGAGCAGGGCAGCAAGTGGCAAGAAAGCAATGACTGTTGGCTGCTGATACAGAATAAAGATGCGATATATAAAGGCAACTCAACGTCCACGCACAAATTTCTTGTCCTGGGGGCTGCACCGCCAATGAGTCCTGGGGCCAAGTCCCAGAAAAACAGGCAGGGTATCAGCAGATGAATCCTGGGAGATCTCCCTCACATTGGCTGTCTTGATGACCAGTCCAGGGTGGACTTTATTCATGAGTGGCACAGATGCTGGAAAGGGTAAACATCTGCGCTAATGAGTAATCATGAAGTAAAGAATTAATGACATGAAGATTTAGCTTCCAAGAAAATGCCTGGCAGCATCTGAAGTCAAGAAATGTTGTGGTGAAGAGGATGGCTTTGGAATAAGACTGACTTAGGGACAAATCCTGGTGTCCCATTTCCTGCGTGCTCTTTGGAAAATACCCGAGAACAGAGGACAGTATGACCCAATCCCGGCCTTCTGGAAGTTGACATCTACAGCTTAACCTTTCTGAGCCTCGGTTTCTTCATGGGTAAAGCAGGGATAATGGTAGACCCTATCTCCTAGGGTTGTTGTGAGGTTTAAATACGAGAAGGGCTGACTTCATGGTACATGCTGACCACAGGGGAGCTGAATAACTCGGGTAGTGAGAAGCAACAGAAAACAGGACCAGGGAGACCAGCAATGGCCACGGCCATGTGAGACTCCACCTGCATCTTGCATCCTCTTCTCCTCACTGGCCTTAATGCAGGGTCGAGGACACACTCTCCTGATGGCTTCACCCTCATCTCAAAGACGTGCTTCTTCGGGAAATCACAGTTAGTTCCTAAAAGCCCTACTAGCTCTTCCTTTTTACGTTTATTCCAATTCTGTTCAAACCCCGAATATGTGGGCCGGAGGTGACATCCCTTGCTGAGTTCTATGGAACGGAAGGAACAGCCAGCCACTGAGGCAGCCCATGTAGAAACAGAACAAAACGACTCTCTCTTGGGGTGCTGGGGTGGGGAGGGCTCTGCAGCCAGCCCACTGAGACTCTCCCCACCCCCTGCAGACAGATGAGATGCCCCTGGCAACCGAGAGTAGAGGCCCTGCAGCTGAGGACTGAGGAATGGATTCCTACAGCCGATGGGAGAAGACAAATTCCTTTTGCTTAAATCCATTATGTGGAAACCTCCCTTTGAGATCAGTCTCAAGGGGCCAGAGCATTTCTTCACGAGCCCTAACTCTGGGGGTTTAAATGGAGATAAACATGGCAATCCAGGGCCGGTCCAGGACGGTTCCAAACATATTCCTAGGCAAAGTCCACTTTAGGACAGTGAAGCTTCTGATCATAGGAAGAGCTGCAGAAAACACTGCAGGGTTTAAGAGGGTAATTTTAAAATGTGATGTGTCATGATTCATGAAACAGTGATGGAAAATGCAAGTGGATAGTCCTCCCACAACAGAGGTTCTATATTGGCCTAGGCAGTTACTTGCAAAGTCTGTTAGCATATTAAAGCTACTGTGAAGTCTGGCAGCAAAGAAGCAATTTAATTTGCTGTTTAATCCAGCGTTTACAAAACATATTTGGTCACAGGACCCTTTTGTTAAGAAACAGTTCTTTCTGTGGAAATGGACAAAGAGTGAGTCAGGGCCCCCTCTCGCCTACACAAATTAGAAACACATGCAGTGAAGAGACAGCAGGGGGTTTGAGCCTCCACTCATGCCCTTGGCCAGACCACGAATGCAGCAGCCTGACTGGTAAAGGACACATGGCCTATTGGGCCATCCTCAGACCTTCCTGACCAGGGCCTGAAATCAACACTTGTTAGTCTCTCTTCAGGGCTAAGTCCAAGCTTGTGAATGAAGGAAGAGGGTGCTCAAGTGGAGAAGGAGGGAGACCACGTCTAGCCTGGAAGTTTCTATACACACTAGCCATCACGAAGGGCGACTGGACAACTCTGAGGTTATATTCAACACAGGATCCCCTGAACACTTCTGAGATGCTGATCTGTGCTGCGTTATTAAAAAAACAAGGGGTGGGGGGGGAGGATACACCGCCATGTATTGCAACAGAAGTTAATGATAACTGGGACCATCAGGAAGGAGACCTGCATGTCCACTCCAGCCAGTTTACTGCTTGGTTTAGAGTCTGATTGTCTGGCTTCTATCCTCTGGCTTTTGGAGTAGACTGGTTTTCCTGGAATATGCATTTATTGAACTCTAAAAGGCCAGAACTTCTGTGTAGATTAATTCATGATTTCAAAGATGCTTTGAAGCTGGCAAAACCTTCTGTTATTTCCAAGAGTTATTACAACTGCAATCCTGGAATAGACTGGGAGGTCAGACTGTAATCTTGTTTAGATCCTTTTAAATTTAGAAACTTTACAGTGGGTTAAAAATAGATCACATTTGCCTACTTTTCCTCCTTTCATCCCTGCTACAAAGGCTGTTCAGTAATTTTGACCTACCCCAGATATTAGACAGAGAAGTTCTAGTACTTGTCACCTGGGAGTCTGCTGGGCCAAAACAAAAGTCATTTTCAAATGGGTTTCAGTCGATGTTAGTCATATGACTGAGTGGAGTTACTCTTTGTCCTACATAATAAAGTCTAGAATTAAGAGGAAAGGACTATCACTAAGATCTATAAATAGTACATGGATTCATGTTAAGTGAGAATGTGGGCCATGAGGAGAAGTGTTCAATAGTGCTACCCTGGAGGGCTTGTGTCCTTACATAGCGACCAGAAAAAATCACAGTGCTTAGTCAAAAGAAGCTGTATGAGGCTGGAAGGTCAGGCTGCTTATAACCAAAAGTTAAATAAAGATTGCACCTGATTTCAGAAGAGCCAAAATACTGAATGTTATCTTGTATGGTGCTTGCCAGGTTTAGTAGGGTGCCAGCATTTTCATGCCCAGCAAAGAGAGCATTACACTCAGGATTTCCTCTTCATGGTCACTTTACCTTCATGAACATGCTAAATCCAGTTTTAAGGAGATCGGTGAGGCCTGAAGACATGTGTTCAATATCAACCGGATCTGGCTTTTCAGGATTAAATATTTCCTCCACGACCTGCTTCAACAATGGTTTATAGGATGCCTGGAAAGACACAATATTGTGCTGTTAGTAAAGGGTTTGTTTGGTGTGTCTGGAAAGAGGATAGCTTTATCTGCACCAAATGAAGCAAAACAAGTTTATTTTGATACTAAGCAATGGCTATGATTTTGTGTGTGTGAAAAGACAACTATAACAACACTGGTTTTTTTGGTAAATTTTTACCCCAATACTCTGGCACTATTTTTTGTTTCTCACACTCCCTTCTACAAGCAAATATCTCTTACCAGAGCTATAATCATAGTAGGACTAGTTTTTCAGTCTAGATTTAAAGTGACAATTTTATGTATGAAGTATACTGAAAAGTAAAGTATTATCATTTGATATAGACATAAAGATGGTCTCCAGTTTTTCCTAAACCTTCTTAGAATTACGCTCCCCTCTGCTAGGAATGCTAATGTTTTCTTACAATGTATTGTTGCTATCCAAGCCCAGAGCAATCCCTCCTTCTTCTACAGAGGTCAACTCCAAGTATGACTTGGCCAGAAAAAGAAGCCAAGATGCCAAAAAGGAATTTGACCAAGGTCAGGGCTTAGAGAAAGCAGGCCGCATGGTACTATAAGAACTTCAGTAGAATTAAGCTGATGTTAAATTGCAACAACTACAGTTTGATAAATGGTGCTAAATCTATCCACGTTTAGGCAATATTTGGAGAGAGCTGCCTCTAACCACTTTCTGAGCATGTTCCCCCCACCTCTCTCCTTGGTTCTGTTACTAACAAGCTCATCCTCTCTTCTCCCCTTTCCATCAGCTAGACCCTTCCTCTCCCAGTCCTGCTGCTGCCTCTGCTGCCTCCGCTCCTCCAGTTCCATATGGTACCCGAGTCCACAGTGTGAAGGGTGAAGGAAGAAGGAACGTCTTCCCTCAACGCACTGGTATATCTGTTTTATCTCTATTATGTGTATTATAGGCTCTAACAGCCAGGTTCTGACAGAGCTCTGTTGAGATGTCTTGAACTCTGCTTCTCCCTTTGCATTGGCCACATCTATGACCTGTCTCTAGCAAGCACGGAGGATATTTGGTGTACTGGCTTTATCTCTGGCTTCACCATGCTTTTCTTATAGTCATTTTTTACTCTTATTTTCCCTTTATTCCAACTTTTTTACTTAAAATATCTTAGAAATAAAGCAGGGTATAATCCATCAAAATCACAAACAATCATTTAGCTAGAACATAACTGGTGCGTTTATCAGGGACAAAAAGCAGGGAGAAACAGCAACTGTTCAGTTGAGGGTGCAGCCTTCTGATGTTTATTAGTCAAACAGACCATTGCATGCCCAGAGATCTCATAGGTAAATGCTCATGAAAAGGAAAGCCTGGGCAGGAACACTGATAAGACAGAAATTTTAAAAAAACAAAAGCAAAAACTACGAGTCAACCTTCCTCATAATAAAGCTATACCATTAAAATTTATCATATGGGCAAAAATCCAGAAGTTTGAAAACACTCGTTTGACGAGGCCATGGGGAAACAGATATTCGCATATATTGCTGGTGGGAGTGTAAATTGTTACAATCAATACGGAGAGCAATTTGGCAATACCTATCAAAATTACAAATGCATTTGACCTAGCAATTCCACTTCTAGGACTCTATCCTATAAATATGCTAATACACACAAATGAGACTCATAAAAGGCTGTTTATTGTTTGTAATAGCAAAAGATTGGAAACAACTCAAGTGCCCATCAATAGGGAGCTATTTAATAAACAGGACACATCCACAGGAAGGCATGCTATGAGAGGGAAGAGAGAAGCTCTGTGTTGATATGGCAAAAACAAGGTGCAGAATAAAGCGTGAGTGAAAAAAGCAAAGAACCGTGTGTATGATGGGCTGGCATTTGTGTAAATGTGTCACAGGGAATACGGAAGTTTGTATTTGCTGAAATATGCAAAAAATAAACTCTGATGTGATACACAGGGACTGCCATGAGCAACGATCACAGAGTGGGGGACTGGACAATGGACAAAGGTGGGACGAAGACTTTTCAATGTGTTGCTTTTTTAAAAAGCACAGCAAAACACCACTATACACAGCAAGAATGACCTTTTTTTTGCTTATTGAAAATTAATAAATTATTTATGCACGAAAGAGATTGGGGTAAAGCACAAGGAAAGGTTAATTAGGGCTATCTCTAGGTTCTGGGAGTAGAGGACATTATTTTTTTCCAAATTTTCCAAAATTAACAGGTATACTTCTGGAATCATAAAATAATCCTATAAATATTTTCAATGTTAAGGGAAAAAAAAAGGTCATGGAATGGCCTTCGAAGTCTACAAATCCTCTTCCCTGAACAAACTGCCTTGAGAGCCTTTCTATCATCTCAGCCTTTCTGGACATTTAATCTCTTAAATTAAACTTTAATCTCTTTAAACTGCTCCTCAAGGAGAAGTCCTTTGACCAATACTCTGCTACCTTATCAGTTTTATCATCAAATATTCATCAACTTCTTCCTTAGTAATAGAATCCAATTTTTACTCAGGCCCATTATCAACTGGCTAAAAGACTCTATCCTCCAGCCTTCCTTGCAGCTGGGTACGACAATGGAATTAAGTTCTGGGCAATGAGATGTAAGTGGAAGGGGAGTGGGACTTTCAGACGTCTCCTTTTTTAAAAGGGAAGGGTGTGCTTTCCTCCTCTTTCTCTATTCTGCTGCCTGGAAGGTGGAAGTAATGCCTGGAGCTCCAGCAGCCACTGTGGAAGACACGGCCATTCTTCAGAGATGCTGGAGCAGAGAGCTGGAAGAAACCCTGGTTGGTGATGACTGGTGGCGCTGCCATAACAATAACATGGACAGACTAAATCAGGACCGACTTTACATAGCAACACTAAATCTTGTCTGTTTAAGCCATTATTTTTCATTATTATCTCTGTTATTTGCAATTGAATGAAATTCTGATACAAAGCACAAAGGGGATATAAAGAAATAAAAGGCCATTCCTTCCTTCTGGGAGCTTACACTTGTTTGTTTTATTAGCCTATATAAAGTTATATAGAATAACTTTAGGCAGACCACAGAGAAATACACATAGGTTGTCACATTTAAAAGAGGAGAGAGTATGCCCCCAACCTACAAAAAACAAAAAAAGGCTGTTGCTCTCCATAGGATGCACCTTCTGTAAGAAGGAAGAGTAGCGACTCTGAAAAGAGCTCAGGCACAGGAACAAGGTGGTTCTGTGATCACCTAAAACTCTACACTCAGCACCTCCTCTGTGCAAGGCACGTACCAGGGGTGACAGGACTGTTCTCAGGGCTCCAGGAGCCCCAGCGCAGCCTGAGGAGAGCGGGGAGAAGGAAGTGTGGAGGCGTCAGGGATCTCGCTCTCCCCCTTGCTCCACTTCTGGCTAAGCTCTGTGGAATGAAGCACCCAGGAGAAAATGCGCTCTGAGCTGGGGTTCCCCTTAGGGGGGTGAGCAGAGATTTGGAAGTGCTATTCCCTTAACACCTTCATTCTTGGGACTTCTTCATCATTGCATGTTATTGGGGAAGGTGGTAAATCTTTTTTATTTTATTTTTTTTAAGGTATGTAGGTAATATTTATTTAGAATGTGAAAAGAAACCATAATTTAAATACAGAAAAGTAACAGAGAACAAACACATCACATAATCCAGAAAAATAACATAAATGCTTTTATTAATTAACTGCCTGACATACCTCTATAATACTCATTTCTTGGCTGTATTCTGATTTTGTTTTCATATGATAGCAATTTTGAAATATTTTCTATAGAGAGATGTGACAACTATTAAGCTATTGTCTCTCAACTCCAAACCCTCCCTTCTGTACTCAATTCTGTGATGCTGGCCTGTGACTCTGCAAACCACATTTGTGCTTTGCCATCTGGGTCTGATAGACTCTGCCAATAGGGGGCACTAGAGCGAGACGGTGATAGACTCTGCCAATAGGGGGCACTAGAGCGAGACGGTGATAGACTCTGCCAGTAGGGGGCACTAGAGGGAGACGGTGATAGACTCTGCCAGTAGGGGGCACTAGAGGGAGACGGTGATAGACTGCCAATAGGGGGCAGTAGAGTGAGACGGTGATAGACTCTGCCAATAGGGGGCACTAGAGGAAGATGGGAAAGCACGAAGAGCAAGCAGGAACCTGCTCCTCCCTGTTTATTTGCTGTTCATGCCAGCATCCACCCAGCAATGGCCCCTCACCATTTGAAGCTCTCCCTTCTCTGGACTTTTAAGTCCTAGGATCAAATAAATTACCTTTCTTGTTTAAGCCAGTTTGAGCTTTTTCTTTTTTCTATTTTCACTTGTAACCAAAAGCACACTAAATGATATAAGGATTATGAATTTAAAGAGATGTTGAAGGGCCGGCCCTGTGGCTTGGTGGTTAAGTGCGCGCGCTGCAATGCTGGCGGTCCGGGTTCGGATCCCGGGTGCGCATCGAGGCACCACTTCTCCGTCCATCCTGAGGCCGAGTCCCACATGCCGCAACTAGAAGGATGTGCAGCTATGACATACAACTATCTGCTGGGGCTTTGGGGGGAAAAAATAAAATAAATAAAATCTTTAAAGAGATGTTGATAGGTTTTCCTACTTAAATATTATATAGAAAAGACCTCTAAATTATTTTTTTTTCTTTTTTTTGGTGAGGAAGATTAGCCCTGAGCTAATATCTGTTGCCAATCCTCCTCTTTTTGCTGAGCAAGATTGGCCCTGGGCTAATATCTGTGCCCATCTTCCACCATTTTATGTGGGGCGCCTGCCACAGCATGGCTTGCTAAGCAGTACATAGGTCTGTGCCTGGGATCCCGGCCTGTGAACTTCGGGGCGCTGAAGCAGAGCGCATGAACTTAACCACTACACCCCTGGGCCGGCCCCTCTAAATTCTTTATTAAAGGAACTCAGCACCGAACAACCAAATAATACAATTTAAAGAGCATGATTTGGGAAAGACGTTCTTAGTTCCAAAGCAGTACTTGTCTCGTGACTTCTCAGCAAACACAATTCTTAGTTTTTACAATTAGGGTT